TCTGTTCTTCAAGGAGCAAATTTGGAGAAGTACTATCATCTCTTTGTGAATTATCCCTTCAAATGGTTCATGCAACTGCTTTATTAGCTGGATTCTTTTCTTTTCAAAGAGCAGTCCCAAGGGAAATCTCAACTCAAAAGTCCAGCTGTAGAGCTTGGATCCTTTGGGACACTCAACACATTCCAAACTCAGAATAGATCAGTTTTGTTTCCAAGCACACATGTTTTGTTTCAGGCATAGAACATTCAGAATGGCTACTTTGAAGTCAGAAACATTGTACATATGCTTGCCTCTAAATTAACAGTCTCTGTCCAATGTATTCCCAATGAACTTGAACAGATAAGGTTGAATAAAAGGACTTGGGTTTTTATTCTGTTGAGAGTTGGAACCATGTGAGTAACCATGCATATCAATTAGTATGTTTCTAATGTAAGATAGTACCTACAGCTATTTTGTAAGTGCACAGCAGTGTCCCAAGAGTGAATCTGTTGCATCGACTAGCCTCTATCCATATTGATAATTCAGAATATGATTCAGTGCACATTTGACAGAATATGATTCAGTGCCTGTTGGAACTTGACCAATTATTGCCTAGGAGCCCATAAAATATATACAATATGTACCTCGACTGAAGAGTTGCTGGGCACAGGAGCTGAGAAAGCTGAGCTCTAAATCGGATGCAAAGATGTGGGTATATAAAAAGCCATGAAATTGCCAATGATGTAAAATGGAAATGATAGGCATGCATCTTAAACACTCATGTACATATGCTTAGGACCTCTGGTCTCATCAGGGTTTCCCAATACATATACATGAGTATTTTTGCTTCTACAGTAGCAGCATAATTAGTTCTACTCCTGTTTTCTTCCAAGAAAGTGGATGCTAAGTAGGACTGGTGGGGTAGAGGACAAGGAGTTGGTGGATAAAGACAGATGCTTTTGATTATCCCCATCCTCCTCTCTTGCAATGTACCAAGAATACTTGAAAGTTAGCATATATTGCAGTTACTTATTTTTTAATTAAATGTAAACATGTCATCTTCCTTTAGTTCAGAAGGATTCCATGCTAGGGAAAAAGAAAAGATTTGTGACTCCCACCATTTCTTCTAGCCTCCTCCCAAACCTCTAACTGCCTCTCCTTCAACTTGTCCATTGAAACCCCTGCAGCTGTCAGCCTTGCAAGGTAGCCCAGACAAGAAGCACACCCAGATGAATTAATTCTACTTTATTGTAAGGTTACATTAACAGTATCTTGCAAATCTGAAAATACATTTCTCCCCTGTTGCCTTTACAGCCTGAGAAACTAGAGAGGGTCCCTTCTGAGATGTTTGCCACGCCCACATTCCTGCTGCAGGCTAAGCTGCTTCTTATCCAACTGTTGCCCTGGCTGTGGCTCTTCCCCCTGCCTCCCAAGGTCATCCCCACAGACCATTACATCAACCCTGCAGATAGCATTCCATTCCACTCTGTTCCCAATGATCTTTGTACCACATGTGTGGCAGTTAGAGTTTGCCCTTGTGTCCTGATTGTGGGGTTCATGAGGTCTGTCTGTGTGACCCATCCCCTTCTCTCTTGTGCAGTGTTTCTCAACCTTGGCAACTTTAAGATGTGTGAACTTCAATTCCCCAGCCAGCATGCTTCAGTCTGGATACTGCAACCGCTTCTCTTATATTTACTTGTATTTCTAACACAGAGATATTTCTGTAGTCCCAGTCAAGTGAACTGCCATTCACACCTTCCACTCTTTTCCATGGCCGAGTCAACGGCTCCAAAATTTTAATTCCTTCTAGGGCACCCCTTCTCCAGTTCTGAGTTCATTCTTGTTCAGAATCAGGTTGGAGTAAAGGGCCTAGAATAACTAAGCCCACCCCTGCCTGTAATTCATACCGAAAGGGAACTTCTGGAAAAACAATTTAAAAATTTAGAGAGAACAAGGAACTGAATGATTGAGACACATACACACCACCGATACTCTTATGGACTTATGGACTCTGGGCCTGTTCCTCTCTTCTTGGCTTCATCTACTTGTCAAAAAGTATGCCATTCAAAGGCTAAGGATGGTCCTCAACCTGAGGAAATATGTGGATTTTGTTCTTGAATATTGTTTGTGGCCGATTTAAGAAAGATGGAGCTAATTATGGATTTGGCTAAGCTTGTCTGTATTTTCTTTCTAGCCTCTGAAAGTGCTAAAGAACCTTGTAATAGAAGTGGCAGTGACAATTGTTTGTAACGGAAAATGGCTGTCCTGTCAGTACAGGAGACTATCTTCTGCTCTTGCTTTAATCAGAATGTAGAAAAGCCCCAATTCCTCCCTCCCTCTTTTCCTTCTTTCTTTCTTTCTTTCTTTCTTTCTTTCTTTCTTTCTTTCTTTCTTTCTTTCTTTCCTTCCCCTCCCCACCTACTACTAATAACTATGTATATGTAT